ATATATATATATATATACATATATACAAAGCTATACTTATTATATAAAAACTGTGCTTATTGACATATACCTTGTGATATGAGGTTAGTAGATACTTAATACATTTTTCTTTTTTTATTATCATTATATCTAGAAGTATATTTTATATTAATACCTAAACATTTGCCATAAGTATTAAGTATAAATAACAAATTCAAGATGGATAAGATGCATAGATGAGGGATGTACACTAGTTAAGTGAATTTATAGCTTGCTGAATAATCTTTCCAAATGAGTATTTTCTAAAAAGTATCAAGGTCATAGGCTTGGCATTAAGACCACGAGTAATATTTCCTCCTAACGCATTTTCACATATTACAAATGTTCCTTACTGGAATGAGGTTCTGAAACTCATTCAGTGGGTATTTTCAAATAGACACAAAAGTAGAGAGAATAGCATAATGGACTTCAATAAATCTATATCTCAGCTATGTTTAAGATGTTATATATATCTTAAGATGTTACATATATCTTAAAGAACAAGGAAGTAATAAAATGGTTGTTCCTACAAGGGAGCTTCTTAGGTATGATGTTTATTTTAAAAGGTCATTGGAAAGCTGGAGGGTGCAGTTGTGATCCTTCAGGGCTTAAAACTAATTTTCTCTTCCTTAATGTTCCTGTAGCACTTTGTTTATTGCTCAGTTCTGCATAATTCTATCATGTCTTACATTGGAATTAAACACAAGTAACAATCAATAAACATACTTTCGGTGGGATGCTATTCTAAATCCTGGTGATCTAAAGATTTGCTAATCCATGCCCTCCAGAGTCTCACAATCTGGTGATGGAGACAAATAAGGAAATGAATCATCACTACACAGTGTGCTGGGTGGCATAACAGAAGGACCCACAGGGAGCATGGAGGGAACTCACCAGTAAAAGTGTCCACACCTCTCCGAATTGTAGGTTCCCTGAGGACAAGGGCCTTTACTCCCCTGACACTGTTTCTCCCATGGCATGGGTTCAGAAAACATTGTTTAATTATGTGTTGTTGAATTGAGGGTGACCAGGCTGGTAAGTAAGTAGCCTTGAAACCATGCTTTCTGGAAAACACTTTAACCAATTAGGCATGTTTCATCCATAGCAGAGAAGACTGGAAAGGACATGTTAGTCTTCAACTATTTGAAGGACTGTCACGTGGAGGAAGGAACAAATTTATTCTGTAACATTGCAGAGGGCAGAAAACATTAATCCACTCGTCCTTGTTCTGACCTCTGCAATGCAAGTTTCTTAAACACAGTAAATTTCTTAAACGCAACACAGCCTTAGCATTACTGAATAAGGAAAAAGCATAGATGAAGCTAATTGAACAAAGTAAATATTTGGGATAAGTTTGATTATAGTTTTTCCAGTTACATTATTGCCCCTTGTCATCCTAACATTGGCATTTTGTGCTACTGACGGAACAACATCTCAGAACCATATTAGAATTGCTAGCTGCACTTATAGATGTCGTTTTTTAATTGAAGTATAATTGGCAAACAATATCCTATTAGTTTCAGGTGTACTAATAGTGATTTGATATTTATATACATTATGACATGGTCACCATAATAAGTCCAGTTACCAACTGTCACCATATAAAATTACTACAATATTATTGACTATATTCTCTATGCTGTACATTTACAATAGCCAAGATGTGGAAGCAACTTAAATGTCCATCAATAGATGAATGGGTAAAGAAGATGTGGTGTATATACAATGGAATATTATTCAGCCATAAGAAAGGATAAAATCTTGCCATTTGTGACAACACAGATGGACCTAGACAGAGTTATGCTAAGTGAAATAAGTCAGACAGAGAAAGACAAATACTGTAACATTTCACTTATATGTGGAATCCACAAAACAAAACAATCAAATAAACAAAACAAAAACAACCTCATAGACACAGGAAACAAACTACATAGTAGTTACCAGAGTTGGGGTGGGGGCTTGGGGTGTCAGAAATAAATGAAGGGAATTAATAGGTACAAACTTCCAGTTATACAATAAATAAGTTATAGGTGTATTTTATTTCCTTAAATCTGAAGATAATAGAAATTGCTGTGGTCTGAATGTTTGCACACCCCCCCTCCTTAAAATTCATATATTGAAATCCTAACGACCAGTGTGAAGATATATGAAGGTGATCAGGTCATGAGGGTGGAGCCGTCATGAATGGGATTAGTGTTCTTACAACAGTGAGCTCACAGCGCTCCCTAGCCCTTTCTGCCGTGTGAGGAGACAATGAGAAACATGTGACCCAGAAGAGGACCCTCGCCCGACCATGCTGGCACCCTCATCTCAGATGTCTAGCAGCCAGAACTGTGAGAAACAAACTTCTGCTCTTTGTTTCAGATCATACCACCCCGCCTGTGGCATTTTGTTATAGCAGCTTGAACAGACTATGACAGATTGAAATCCTTACCTGAAAAATCAGAATTTTGTCCTTGAATATGCATTTCAAATCCGCTAATCTCAATTCCACTGAATTAATTGGTTAATAAATTTCATCAACCCCCATTTTATGAAAACAAGGCCGCCGTTAGGCAGGTGAATTGGGAGCCAGGTGTCCTCATGACAGTCCCTGTGATCCCTGTGCGTCACATACTACATAAAGGGACACAAAAATGGCAGGATAAACCTGCCGTCAGGGTGGGAGAATATTCTGTCATCACAAAAATAAGCTATGTTCCCTATCTTCAGCTGGCCTTTTTATCCATCTCTTCAGACTAAGAGGAGGCCCAGTGGACCCCCGAAGGCTGGACCAGTGAATGTCAGGACACTGGTCCCACCGTCAGCTGAATGCCAGGGCACTGCAGTTGAAGGCCTCCAAATAAAGCAGCATGTGGCCCGCGAAAACTGGCTCCCTGTGCCACAGGTCTGAGCAATGCTGGAGGAGTCAACAGAAACAACACCACAATAGCATGAGGCTACTTCTCTCCTTCCACCTCCATCCCCAAGTTATTTATGGAGAAGTCCCTGCTTCCACAGCCCCTCTCTGGAAAACGTTTTCCTTGGATTGCCTCAGGACTGAATCTCATCAATCAAAGCATCAGTCACTGCCAAGTTTCCGGAGGTGAACTTGCTATGTGATGATCATGTTGGTTGGAGGAAGATTAAACTGTGACCACGGAACCCATCGCAGTGACCTGGACTCAGTTCACTTTCCTGTGTCCTAAGGGGAATTTCAGGTGATTCTGCTCGTCCTCTTTGGACCCAGCGAGATGGCTGCTGCTGTGTAAAACTAAGCAGGTTGCTGCTTTAACGCTGATATTTCCAATGCTGTTTAGAATCCCTGTTAGGTCCTATAGAGCAATCATCAGTTAAAATTAAATGTATATATGTGAGAGGATCTCATAAACATTTACACAGGAAAGACTGAGTCCTTTAATCTTTGAGTTTGGGAAAAGTAATGATCTATGATCTAGGGTTGTTTGGAGGGTCATAGAGATACAAAATCTATTGGTGGCTTTGAAAACACCTCTTACCCATGTCCAGCATGATCCGGTTGGGAGAGTTAGAAGCTGACTTAGAACGGTGGCAAATGAGTTCAGGAAACCATCCACTCACCCCCATTCTACTTGGCAGTAATAATCAGAAGAATGCATTAGGAAGAAGTGTTGTTACTCTCTGTTTATCTAACCTGATTCCACAGAACAAGATTACGGTAATAGCTACCCCTCCATACATGCCTTCCCACTACCGTTCTGCCCATTCCAGATTCTGGGGGAAACGGCCTAGAATACAAACTGTTGGTTAACAACTGGACTATCTTTATAGTTCATAGGGAGTTGAAAATCTTTTTTGTGTACTGCTTTTATTAAATTTATCTGGAAAAAGTTCACTACTCTTTAAAAAAAAAAAAGCTGGAATAGTGAAAGAGATTTTCCTCATCCGGAGCTTTTATTTAAAGGTTGCCCTTCACTTGCTGATCCTGAGAAGGAACATTTACTGAATTAAAACCATTTATTTGAACAAAAAAATATTCTTGAGGATCTACTGTATGTCAGCATAGGTGCTGAGGCTACACAGATGGATAAGGCGAAAATGGCCGCTAGCCTCACGAATTAAAAATCTAGCAGATTGACTAACTTCCAGTACTATCAGAATTTCCTGGAGGCTGTTCCTCCACCATTTCCTTAGAACCATTTATTGATATAACTACTCCTTTCTTGCAGAAGATGACCAGAAAAAGAACTTTCTTTAACCTTTTTTAGAATGAGTTGAAGTTTACACAAACAGATAAAGGCCTGTCATACACAGGCCTTTTCACATTAACATCTTTTAGAAGCTTTAAAAACTTATGTGAGGAATAGATATACTTCTTGCCTTTGGTGTGATGTTCATGAAGCTGAAGGAGCGATTTTAAGGACTCAGCACTCTCGAACTCCTGGGTGTTCTGGAGGAAATCTTCAGCTTCATCTATTTTAATGGCAAACTACAACAGAAACACAGGGGAAAGACAATTGAAAAAATAAAACTTGGCATGCCACTTTTAGTTATTTGCCAAGGTTTTTCAAGAATTAATGCCTCTTTGACTCTGTATGTGTTTGTGTGTTTTTTGAGGATGCATGTGCTGGCTTAGTGTTTGTGGGAGGGTGTGTGTTTGCATGTAGTCAACTTACAAAGTGCCAAGGTAAGAGTTTTCTTATTATTCTTTTGCATTTTTTCATACCTGGAAATATGTCATGCATGTTGAAATACACCAACTTGTTTGCTGTTCAAATGTCTATTAAAATTTTCAACTAAAATGTTTGGGTCCCATATAATGAACGCAGCCACTTTCAACATTCTGAGACAGTTTGACAAAGAATTACCAGAAAGTTTGCTAGGAGAAACCAACAGAAGTTTGGCTAACCAGTGACCTACATAATTATAATTAAATTTAACGTAAGAACCAATTTAGAAAGAAGATTAAAATATAATATTTTTCCTCTATGATTAAACCTACAACTGAAAAATGTAAGTTTCAGAATAATACACAGTCTAAGCTCATTTCTACACTTGATCTTAGCCAAAAGGCCAAGAGGCAATGTCTAACCCCATTTCTTATACAAAAAAACATTTATGAGAAGGAATGGGGTTAGACTCAGGTAAGTAAAAGCTTAGATTTTAAATCTATAACTTGCAATTTTGTTTGAATTCCATCTATAATTTTATGTATTATTTACATAAATGAGATTTGATGCACCAAGAATAAAAAATGGACAATTTCTCCTCTGTTTCAAGGAAAAAAGAAATAGCAACTTGATACCCTACATGTTCAGGAATACGACGGCCTTCTCTTCTTGTGTTTCTGCACGGAGAAAGTATAAAAGGGAGATGCTTGAAGCAATGTTAAAATTTTCAGGGGAACAATCTTAGAAAGAAATTTTAGAAAAGGGAAAGCCATAGTTGGTTATGCTAATACAGTATATCCATAGCAGTAGACAAATAGCTGGTTTGTTTTAACACTAAGATTCCAAGGTAATATTATGGTTTATAAGAACATTTTAATCAACATGTTCTCCTTTGGATCAAGTATAAAATAAACAAAAGCCTATCACAGTGCTTGCCTTCTTTTTAAAGATTTTTTCGAAACTGTCATCTTTGAATTTAGCGATTTTTAATATTTTTATAACTAGCTGATTAACAAGATCTACTGTGTTATGATCAGTACAATAGCCATGTAAGATCCAGTTATAAACAGCACAAAATGATGAGAAAGACTGATGAGCATGTCTCCCTTGTAAACACAGAGAAGGCCTCCACCATCCTATTAGAACAACCTGATGGACACCCGCCATTGCCACTTCAGGACAATGTTTCTAGACAGAAGTGATGGAGAAGAGAAAAACCTTTCTGATGGTTAAGCCTATGAGCCAGAAACCAGCCTATGATCATTATCAACCATGCAATAAGATGTCATTTGGTATTTCTAAAGAACTCCTGCATGCACATAGTTCAATACAGGGAGCCTATCCACACATCATTTACATCTCTAATTCTTTCCATTTCTAATAACTGATTTTAAGACATTCTTTGAGCAGAACCTTCAAAGAAAAAGAAAAAAAAATAATAAAACCCTATAGGTGATTTATTTTTTCCCTGTAGAACATTATAAAGTTTTGGAGTCTCTATATATCTATATTTCAGCTTATTTGAAAATTTAAAAATAATAAACAAACAATTTGACTCAGAAAAGCTTCCCTAAAGTACTGTTAACGTTTATGGATACTTTCTTTTCTTCTTTCTGTAGCTTGTACAGGGTAGATGGTAACAGGGGCTATTTTTCAAAAACCCTATGCTTAATTTCATCCTCCTCTGTTTTTTTTCTAAATCACTAACAAAAATTGTTTGGGCATACGTAAGGGGCATGGAAGATCATGCAGAAGTTTGCCTTCAGCTAAGTGTGAGGTGGTCCACAAAACTGGAGACAGAATAATGTAAGAAACAATTAGTCATTTCACTAAGAATCAGAGTTCTGGGTTGAATTATCGGTTGACTTAGTACTTCCTTTAATTTCATGTAGTATCTGGAAGTAATTTCTCATCATAAAGAAAATCAGCTAGCATTAAAGCTACTACACAGTGAGAAACAAACGTTGAGCCTAATATTTGAAAAAAAAGATAATTTCCTGTGCTCAAATTAGCTGAATTTCAAGGGCAGCTGACACCTATACCCCACTTACTAAGATGAAATAAATCAGATGTATCTATAATTTGACCCCTGTAGGTACATTTCACCTGGTTTCCTTCTTTTCAGGAAAGAAAACTGTATGGTCAACTTTTTCCCAAGATAATCTGTAAAATGAATTGTGAGTTGGGCTTCAGTGTTCAAATTGTGGAAAACAAACCTTAAATGTTACAATAAAGTTCTTGCTCCTTTTTATTTTTAAATGAGTTCTTGATGCATGAGATTCTCTACCCTAATTCTTATGTTCTATTACTAGTCTTCTTCCCTTCATTATTTTGAATTTAAGTCCTGAATTTTCAGTTGGAAATGTCCTATTTTTCAAAGCTGTGCTTTATCGTAATGAAGCAGTGCTTCACATCAAAATGAATGTACTGCCATTTGACAGGGAAGTTAAAAGTGAAATTTCCAATAACTGTCTTACACCAAATATAACACCTCTTTTGATAATATTCTTTGAGTTTCACATTTTGAAACCTCAAAAAAATTACAGAATTTAAGAAAATCATAGGGGAAATGACCTTCTTAGGCCCAGAACTTTTTCCTTCCCTTGTATTTTCATGAGTTCAAGCTATAGAAACTCAAATATACACCTTAGGAAAGTACTTTATAAAATGTTATGCTTACAAGTCAAATATTCTATGGAATATTCTGCAATTGTCTCTTCACATGCAACAGAACTTTTAGTCAACAACTTTTATTCAATAAGAACACTGCAGACCAACATTTCCTAGTAACACTAAAATCAGAGCTATTTATTTGATTTAGTAATTATATTACTATCTTCTACAGAAGGAAATATATCATAATGATTTATGAGTAAGAGTTCCCATTTTTACTTATTATTTTACTTAATTTTAATGAGCTGTACTTAGTTTTTGTTTGAAGGCCTACATTTAAGATATTAACAATTTTAGGGTTTTTGCAATTAAAATGTATTGTATATATTGTGGTTATTCTGACATTCTTTTTAACCAACTGCAATGTCTGTTTGTGGAAATAAAACATTTTCAGGAGTGCTATGCATCTGCTCTGATGTGGAGAAGGGAGTTTTTAACACAAACCTCCAAGGCACTTTCAAAAAATTCTGAGGTCAACCTGAGGAGCTCCCTTCTTCTTTCAAGCATAGAGACCAGGGCTGCCCATGCTTCACCCAGGGTTTTGGCCATGGCATCATAGACCTGACTCTGATCCTTGTTCTCCTCAGCTGTCTTGTCTGCTTCCTGCAAGAGTTCCCATACCCGATCTTCCAAAGCCTAAGTACAAGGGGAAAAAAAGGGAAAATGGTAGAGTGTCACTCAATGTAAAAACACAAGATCATATTTCAAACACTTGAATATTTGACATTGTGCATGGTCTAGAAAAGGTCTAGAAGATAATTTATAAACACAAACTGTTATGTAGGCAGGCAGATCAAGAAGGCAGGAGGGAGCGGTGGAGACTGTGGTAAACTAGAAAGGGTGGCCAGGTGAAAGACATTCACATTTAAATAAATATTGTTCAAACACTAGAGATTTATCAAAGCTACACATCTACATTCTGGGGGCTTCAGAATATTGTGTTAACCTCACATTTCAAAGAAAAAAAAAAGGAAAGAAAACTAATTTAAACACATCGAGGAGAGAGTGATCAAGAAAAAAAATCATTAGAAATGAACCCAGTAAAACTTTCTGTTTATTCTAAACAATTGTTACTGTTAATATGCATGTGAAGCTTAACATAAATATTATTAAGCTATTGAAAGAGAATACTCACAATGTAAAAATAAGAATATCTGTAACCAACATTACAGGTTGTTTGAACAAAATATGGGAAATGAAGGAGAACGTGTGCTTATATTATTGTCTGATTTGAGGGTAGGAGGAGGATCCGATAGATTCTATTTCATTGTTTAAGTTGGCACAAAAATAAAGGCACAACTTTAAAAATATAATAGACTAAAAATAATATGAAGGAGCTCTAAAATACCAGCAGAAAGGGGACTAAAATGATATAAAGCATAATATAACAAATAAAATAAAAATTAGCATATTTATCAGGACACACAAAAGGAACAAAACATAATGATAGAAATACGATTAAATATCAATTAACACTAAAAAAGTGGCTGAGTTAATTTTTTCAACTGAAAGACAAACATTATCAGGTTAAGAAAAAAAAAATCAACTAATTTATGTATGATAGGGTCATCCCTTAACTAAAATGGCATAACTTTTGAAAAGAAAGAGATGAGATATAGTAAACAAAGGCAAACAAACTAAAGGAGACTGGCAATATTAATTTCAGACAAATTAGAAATGAAAACAAAATTATTGAGATGAAATAAAGGCATCTTATATTGATAAGTAGTTCAATCCACATTAAGGCACTCATGAACCTTTATATTAATGACATTAAAATATTTAAAGTAGATATACCCAATCAAATCACAATGCAATAAAAGTAGAAACAAAAAAAGGTCCAGATAATAGAACAAATTTTTGGAAAATTTAAGGCAACACTTAATAAAGTAATTCCCAGATACAATGGAGAAAAAAATACAATTATAGACTGTTTAGAAAATAAATATTAATAAGGCTACTATGTTTGAAAACCTAACATATAGCTAACTTTATGCTCCAATAAAATTCATAGCATGAGACAACTTTATTTTACAAGAAGGAAAAAGTAAACATCAAGTCTGAATTATAGAAAAATAATAAAATAAAACAAAAATTAAAAGAGATTAATTGATTAAATACAAATTAGAAATTAACAAATTAGAGAAAAACATAAGAATTAACTTTTTAAAAGGTGGATCATTGAAAAGCCAAATGAAATATAAAAACATCTGACAGATGTCAACATAAGCAGCAGAGCAGATAGCTCCAATGGTCCATTCCTTTGTAGGAACACTTGAGAAAGCAAGCACAAACTATCTTAATCAACATTGTCAGAACTCTGTAAAGTAGTGAAAGATTCACAGGAAACAAGAGAACACTAAAACAACAAAAAGACAAGTTAAAAATTGTAGAAAGCTTTGAGATGCTTTACTTGCCCTTGCCCACCTGCTCTTGGATTCAGCAGAGACGATCAGATTAAATAAACAAATAAGACCCAACTATATGGTATCTACAAGAAACCCAGCTTAAATGTAAAGGCACGGATAGGTTAAAAGTAACCAGATAATGAAAGATATGCCATGCTAATGCCAATTTAAAGAAAATTGCAATAGTTATATTAATTTTAAACAGAGCATATTTCAGAGCAAGGAATATTGAGGGATTAAGATGGGTATTCCACAACAAAAAAGGGGTTCACCTCCAAGAAAATATAACAATCTTAAACGTGTATATGCCTAACAACAGAGCATCAAAATATGTGAAGGAAAAACTGATAGAACTGCAAGGATAGACAAATCTACTATTATAGTTGGAGACGTCAATATCCCTCCATAAATAATTGACATATCCAGCAAGCAGAAAATTAAGGATATAGTTGAACTAAACAACATCATCAATCAACTAGACTACTCTGTCCATCAACAGCAAAATACACATTCTTCTCAAGCTCACGTGAGACATTTACTAGAACAGACCATATCCTGGACCATAAAATATACTTCAACAAATTTAAAAGAAGAAAAATCATATAAAGTGTGCTCTCAGACCTCAATGAAATTGAAGTAGAAATCAATAATAGGAAGAATACAGTCAAGAATCCATCCCCCATTATTAAACATTGCTTTGGAATTGTCAGTCCATATGATAAGTTTAAGAGAATGGATATGATTGCTATCTAGCACACTCTAGAAAATCAACTAAAAATTATATAATTTTAAGTTCAATGAATAGGTTAATTATAAGATAACTAGGGCTCAGTGAATATCTCTGAGGATTTTTCAATAATTTTAAAATCGACTTGAATGAAGTTATAGTTTTCATGTACTAGAAGTACCATTTCATGTACTTTTCTAAAGAGTTCTGACAAATGTACACATCTAAGTAACCACATGATAAAGAACAATTCTATCACCTCAAAAGTTTATGTGTAGCCCACCCCAGTCAACCTTGCCCACTTTATGCCCTCAAAAATCTGCTTTCTGTCACTTTAGATTTCCCTTTTCTAGAGTTTCACATGAATGATACCACACACTACATAATCTTTCTTATTTCACTCAGCATAAGGTTTCTGAGGTTCATCCATAGTCTTTCATGTATCCTTTTTATTGTGGAGTAGTATTCCACTGAATGAATTTATCTAGTTACCTGTTGACATTTGGGTGTTTCCAAGTTTTGGCTATAATGTATAAACCTACTATAAATATTTATGTATAAGTTTTTGTGTGGATGTATATTTTCATTTTTCTTGGAATTTACCTGGGTGCTTCCTAATGAGTTTTACTTCTTTATTTATACCTTCCTGTATATTTTGAATTTTTTTACAATAAAGATATATTATTTTTATCATTGGGGGAAATGTTATGTTCTTTTTTGCAATTACATAAAATGAGCCTACTCCAAAAAAGAAAAACAAAAACATGCCATTGCTGTACTGGAACAGTGGACCTGAGTTATCTCCAATTAGAATTCTAAAACAGCTCTTTCCTTCCTTACTCTTTCAAATTATGTCCTAAGACACATAAACACTTTAATTGTATTTTTGTTCCCAGTTATCTGCTCTTTCTTTCTGTAAAAGGATTATACCCTCATGCCTCCTAACCGCAGGCTTGTCTGAGAGACTTGCTTAGACTAACGAAATGCAAACAGGAGTTTTGCGTGCCACTCTTGAGCAGAAGTTTTAAGAAACAATGAGTGATTCCACCATTTCTCTTGTAATAGAAGGGGCTGCTTCTTCAGCCTGAATCCTAGAACAAAGCAGACACTTAAAACTGAATGGTAATTACAATAATTACAATGATGCCAACACGTAAGGTAAGAAATAAAATCTGTGACTGTGAGCCAGTGCTGTTGGGGGGTTATTTGTCACCCTAGAATTACCAGATACATTTATGAAGGTAAAATCATTTGTTATACATAACACATTCAAGGTCCTTCTGTGATTAATAAAGAAGGAAAATAAAATGCATAACACAACAAAACGATGTATATAGACCACAGCCTGATAATTTTATAGCTAACAAAAAAAAGTCTCAGGCAGGGCCGGCCGAGTGGCGCATTGGTTAAGAGCTGGCTTGGGACGCCAGAGGGCCCTGGTTCGGATCCCACATATGAGGGCCAGTTGAGGGCCAGTGACACTGCCCTCTATGCTAAGATGCTGAACAACAACCCCACGTGGAGCTGGGCTGCCGTGAGTCGCTGGCAATGACAGGTGGGTTGCCATGGGCTACCGTGTGTAGCCAGCAGCCAGCGTGAGCAGCCAGCTGCCACTGTGAGTGGCTGTCCAGAAGCCGGAGACTGATCTGCCTCACCCGGGAAGAGCGCAATGATGGTGCCAACTTGGGCCAGTGAAGCAACGTCCACAACTAGACTGAAGAACGAAAAGATAGCAACTTGTCTGTTCCCCTTCCCCCAATTCCCCAATAAAAATCTTAAAAAAAAAAAAGTCTCAGGCAGATTGGATTAAACAGGCCAATGGCCTCTTCGGGGATGTCCACTGAGTATGTGCCAGCTCTGTTCTCCTTGGAATTTAGGCTAAGCCAGGCAGATGATTGTCTAAATTGCCAAGAGAGTTAGGTCAATGAATATACTTTCTTATCTACGTATTTGAAAGCGTAATATCTAAGCATTTCCTTGTCATGTGACAAGCTTTAGGTTATCTTAGGCGGCTGGGTAATTTTGAATTGTGCATGTTTTTAATTTTATACTTTTGTCATTAAAATGGAATAACTTGGCCTCTATTTCTATTTATGAGTGTTACTTCAAGACTATGTGAGAAGGAAAAGATTACATTTAGAGTTTTATGTTTTAAGATACCTCATTTGTGTGACAAAGATTGTACTAAGAAATGAAATTAGGGGAACTTGGTAATTTCATGGTGGAGATGCAGAAGAGAATAAGAACTAATAGGCAATTAGTTCATTCTAGAGCAAACCAACTGAACAATGAAACTTTTAGGATATATCTCAGATTTGACATGAAGGTGATAGATAAATCTGAAAGTTGGCTGTTTCTATAGCTAATGGGTTTGTATTTTTTTTTTTACATAGAACTCCGTTAGCCTTACTAAACAATACAACTTAGTTCCTCTTAGTACTGTTCTAGTCCCAGTGAAGCAACACTTCATAAATCAGTGATGCAGAGGTTTTAGGGGCAAG